GAGAAAGTCCAGAAGAAATGGGTCAAGGTAGATCCTATAATGACTTTGATACCTTTTATGTGTGATGGGAACTCTATTGAGTATGACTTAAAGTGCAAAGGTACCTCTAAACCATTCTCTAAAGTCAGAGCAATTCTCACACATGAGCTGAAGGAGAAAAGGGAAGCCGCTGTGAAAGGGTTGTTGAGCAGAGTTTTGAAGCTGAACATGTCTGCTTGTGGAGCTTGTTTTGGAACATGCCCTCATGCTCAACCAGACTGATCCCTATCACTATGTCAGGCTAGTGACTTAAACCAAGCGTTTGGTGGGAGGCAACCCACTGGTGAGTGTCAATAACATTAGGATTTTCTTTTCACTTATTTTGTTTTTTAGTTTGTTGAGTCTCAGGTCATAAATCATAAAATCCGAGATTCTTGACGGGAGCAAGAAGGTGGTTGCTCTCATTTTGGAGCATCCTTGACGGGAGCAAGCATGTGGCTGCTCTCATTTCAGAGCAACTGCTCCGCGTAGGTAAGCATCTCGAACAAAAAAAAATATGTTCAAACCTTCTCTCTGATTTATTTTCACACCAAGACGTTGTGAATTAAGTCTGGGGGAGGGTCTTTGTTGTTTACTAACTCATTTATTTCTTTTGGCTTTTATGTTTGAATTAGTCTTGAGTCATTTTGATGTTTTTAATAAGTCAAAACTTGTGGGGATTAAGACCTTATTTTGATAATCACTAACCACCTCATGCTTTAATTTATCTTATTCAGTAACCTTAGCAGTGTCGAAAGACACACATTTTGACCTGGAACACCCTGACTTTATCTCACATTGCTCTTTAGAAGATTTCGGTATGTAGAGGTTACTCTGAAAAGATTATACATCCACTTAATTTGAATCTAATCTTGACTGAAATTCTTCTTGTTATGGTCATTAGATTAGGGAAACGAGATTACACTCAGGACTTCTTAATTCTTTCTATCCATCTTGCTAATCCTGAGTGGCTAGCTCATTCTTAGCTAGTTTCCACTCTGAACCTTTAGACCATTGTTTTGCCTTTATGCATTATGTTTTAAGTGTCATATGTGCAGATATGTGCAAAAAGGCTGAAGAGGAAAGGATCAACACAACCCTCACTCGTTTTTCTTACATAATACACTTTAGAGCAAGGGTGTGCATGATCCGAAAAGAAGAGAACAATCAGTAGGGTGGTCCGAACAAAAAAACAAAATGGTGAAGGGAAAGCTGAAATCAGAACTTCCAGAGGCACACCATATGTTATTACCTTCTTCTCATCATCATCATCATATGAATTCTTCTCATGTATTCAAAAAAAAAAATTTTCAAAATTCAAAAGTTCAAAAGGATGATGAGAGGAAGAAGAAAGAAAAAGAAAACAGTGCCCCCGATTGGTTAGAGCAACAAGAGTCGAGGTGGGAGTGAACAGTGTGAACAATGGTGATATGGAAAAGAGGAGCAACCAGTCTAAGAAAAAAAAAACCACAAGCAACTGCTCTACAGAGAAGAACGAGTGGGGTTTGTGGAGATCAGTGGATCCATCATCTCTTGCAATTTTTCGCGATATCCTGCATCCTCTACAAATAAATGATTTCCCTTGAAATTTTTTTATCTCCACCTAAACACTAAAAAACTTGTTTCATAACTAGATCGTCTACTCTGAATAATGCATGTGACAAGCTCACACTGCTTTTAAATGAATGTAAGGAGTTTTGTCTGGAAAGTGTGACTTTTGCAGGTTTGAGATATAGAGTATGAAGCCAACTTGAGCAACTGTCAATGGGGTTCTGGTAAGAGTGTGTCGTTCTTGTATGTCTGCTTGTATAGTTCGGATATTCGTGGTTAAATATGGTTGCTGAACCATAAGAGAGTTCCCATACTTTCAAATCGTTCTCCATGTTCTTGATACTTGACATTGTTTGAGGACAAACAAGGATCTAAGTCTGGGGTAATTGATATATTGTGATTTTGACATCTTGTATATATGTTTTCTTAATTGTTTTCAAGTTTTTATCGTGTCTTTCTAGTTTTTTTTGAGTCATTACAGGTCTGGAGTAGGTAAGGAGAGCTTTGGAGAGACACATGAAGTAAAGAATGAAAATTGGAAGTTTTCTGTCGCAGAGCACCCAAACGGAGCAACCTCTGCTTGCTCCCGAAAATTATAAAAACTTCTCATTAATTTCGAGATTTTCCCTAGTCTTTCTATTTATTTCTCCCAGCCGCATGTGGCATGCATGGATATTCTATTCTGATTTCTCATGGATAGTACGTTTTTTAGAAGGGAGAAACAACTCTAGAGATTTAGAGATTACGATTTTGCTATTTTGTAAAGGGAGAAGGCTCCATCTCTCTCGCCATAGAGAAGATTATCCTGAACCATATTCTTATTCTATTGACTCATATGATGTTTTATTTAGTCTCTGTTTCTGTGTTTTCTTTATTTTGTCTGAGTAGTCGATCTTGTTTGTTTAGGGTTCTAGGGTGTTGATTCATGAACTGAACAGAGATAAGCTTCATCTTTCTTCGTTTATGAATGATTTTAGTGTTTATACTAATTTAAGTACTTAGTGTTTGAATATAGGTTTAACCTTTTATCATTAACCATGAATTAAGTTGCTAGATCTGTTATAAACGAGCATCATATCCCTGATCAGTGAGTGTAGATGTCAGGGTATTTTGTGAGCATTTTTTATCAGTGTTTATTGTTTGCTGTCGGTCCTTGATCCAAGCGAGAGCATATGTGTCAAGGTTGCTCCGCAAATGGAACATATCTGCGAGAATAAGGTATTCTAGTTAAGAAAGCTGAGTTCTATGCTATACTTAAAGAGTTTGAATAATTTTTTGGTTCATCATATTAACACCCAATAAATCATCCTAGGCTAGCATTCATCATCTGAAAATCTTAATCAAATTTGTTACTTACTTGTTTTATTTTTTTATTGATATCTCCTATATATTAAAAGAGAAGCATTGGCTTTAATGCATTTACACTACATTTGCCACGTGTCAACTTAATAGAACTCCTCACATTTGTATTTCCATTTTTGCTTATTATTTTAATAGCAAACGTAAACTTCTTTTTATTACTCAAAAAACATTTGCTAAGACCGTTTTATGATAATTTTGTGAACAAGAGTTACAGGTTAATGAAACAAGAGTTACATGCACGGAGAACACGTTGCAAGACCTGATGCTATCAGCTAAGTTAAGCTACCATCATTTCAATCGAATTCGTAACTCACATCCCTTCAACATCTCACCTGATGCCATATCTGATTCATTAATCATTTAGAAGAATTACAAAATCGGTTGAACATCATCTCCATATCTGATGCCAATCGTACAACGTCTTAGTAATGTCTTATCGTATTCAGATTTCAAACCAATCACCTTCGTTTAGATTTATAAACACAAGAATCCATGTATTACATCTATTTATAAACACAAAAATCTTTCAATGAGTAAAATATATTACTAGGTAACAAAAACAATGCACAACTATATTACCTCTTATTTTCACTTTATAAATCTAGAGAAACTAACAATCTAACACCAGTTTGTAAATCCAAGTATATATAAATCAATTCTTTTATTCTTTTGTTGTGATTATCTCTTCTTACAAACTCTAACAAATTTCAGTCAACTTAAACCATAATTGTATTGTGATAACCTTACCAATACAGTTTGATTTACACTCTTTTGCTTCAAACTAGGTTTCACAAGTCAAAATACACTAACGACTCTTCTTAATCTATTACTATTTCAATCAATAATCATGAACACAAAGGAAAGATCAACAATCTTTTCCTGTATTTTTGAATCTTTCACCATTATTCGAAGAATAAATCAACCAGAAACCAAACTGATGTCCACAATGAACATACCTAATGTCATCCTATCTATACTATTATTTAAGAAGTGAATTTGCTTAGTTGTCAATTTCTCCATAATTTTAGGTAATTTTGCTTAGTTGTAAATTTTCCATTTAGGTATTTTTTTGCTTTTTTAGAAAATAAGATATTCCGTCCGTTTAAGTGTATATAATCTATAGATTTTAAGGTTTGTTTTGAGGTTTTAAGGTTTTTCAAAATATAAGATGTTTTGAAATTTTAAGGTTAACTTTAACTTTATTGGAAACTGTTCAACCAATAAAATTTTGCAGTCCTTTTATAATTAGTTGAATGATTATAAATTTTTAAAGTACGTAAATTTCTTAATTTGTATGCATTAACCTAAAACGTCATATATTAAAAAAAAGATGGAGTACTTTTGATGTATTATATTGTTATCTTGAAAATATTTATGTATTATAGAAACAAAAAATTAAGATGTAAAAAATTATAATTAATATTAATCAAGCAAAATATTTGTATGAATATATTTTTAAAATTTTGTTGTGTAAAGGCTGTCATTTATAATTAATTTTTGACACATAAATCATCACTTATTAAATTGTTTTAAATTAATAAAATATAAACTAATAAATATTTGTAAAACAATTATGTATATATGTGCGGATAAAATACCTAATATATTAAATAACGAAATTAATAATCTCATTCCGTCTAAGATGCGGATTATCACCTAGTAAATCTGTATTTTTGCTGATGACAAAAAAAAAAATAATACTATAGTTTCTGACTTGATTGGAACGAATTTATTGGAGAGATAAGAATGTAGTAGAAGATAAGGAAGGCCCCACACGTCACTACGGGACCCACAAATTGTCTTCCACCTCCATTCTTTCTGAATCTGTCTTCTCCAATCCATACTCGCCCTCACTTTAACGTGTCCACACGCGCCTTCTCTTTTACTTTTTTGGTTGCTTTTCTCTCGTTATCCAAAACACAGGATTTCTGCTTTTCAGAGATTTTATTACCAAAAGACAGTTCCTTGTCTCTAGGAAAGAAATATTATTTTCGTCTCCCTTACTTTCTTCCCCAACTATCAATCGGTGAGAAAAATAATATTTTGAATTACACAGTGGGAGTTTGGTGATGATGAGAAGACAACGAGACCATGAGTCTAGGGACTTCTACGATCTATCGGCTCTTGTTCTGAGTCTCCTCCGTTCTCCTCCTATGCCTATTTCTCTACCTGATCATTTCCCTGATTCCGTTCATCCAATTAGGCCTCGTTATTCTTCGTCGATGCATATATCTCCTTCGGGATTCGCGTCGATGCTTCTGGGGATATCTTTGGCTCTTATGCTATGTGGATCTGTGACGTTCTTCATCGGTTTCCTCTTGTTGCCTTGGGTTCTTGCTCTCATCTTTATTTTCTACGTCGTTGGGATCGTCTCATCCATTTCCATGGCTGGGAGGTTGATACTCTGTTACTTCTTGCCGCCACCTTCCTCCTCCAGTAAGGAGGTTTCTGGTAATTTCTTTCTGTTGAAAATTGTACGAATATTTTTGATAGAAATGGTCAGGTTCGAATTAATTTAAGGCTTCCTTTTAGCTTTTAGGATCATGTTCACTTTAGTTTAGGACTATCGTTTTAGATATGGAAAACTCTGTGTAAGTTTGGTTTTGAAGCCAGCTTCATGTTTATTATGGTGGTTACAATGTGTGTGTGTTTGATGTGTCTATTCATAGATTGGAAGCTTTTGTGATGTGACGAGCGAGACTTGCAAAACGCTCTATTATCATCTGGAAGCAGGAAATCAAAAGATGGATTGATTGATTATAAACACACAACAATCCAATTAGAGTTTTTTTCTATCTTCTTTGATATAGTACTATGTATTTTAGGAGGGTTGGATTAAAACATGCGATAATTTGGAAGATTTATAATCTGTTATTAGATATAGAAACCTGTCTGATATACGTACTTTATTTCCAAGATAGTTTTGTACTTTTATTATGTTTACATGATTTCTTACAAAAAAGAATAAAGATTATATAGGATTTTGTCTACATTTGTTTCGATTTTTGTTTCTTTTCCTAACTGGTGGCCGTCAAAGTAACTTTGGTGTACTTGATAAAAAGAAGGATTTTTAATTACTGTCTAATTCCAAATAAGGAATTTTACGAAACTAAACCGTATCAGTTTTTTTTTAAAAGTTCATTAAGTTCTAAGCTTCATAAGAATCGAATAACAATCAAAACACATACAAACAAACAAAAACTCGGATTGAACATCTCGATCAATGTCTTGAGATTAAAGAAGGAAAAATGGTGGGAGGTGCCGTAGTGAGTTATTCGATAACCGGTCTATACATGTTACGTGTCGGGCCAGGACTGACGTTCAATACACAAACAAAGACTTATGTCTACAATAAATAAATAAAAAGAGAAGTATATTAGCAATAATCATTCTTTCGAGCGGCGGAGAGGTAAGAGAAGCAACTAGCAAGGGTTTTGTGTGTGTGTGTGTGTGTGAGAGAGAATGGAGTCAAGTGAGGATGTGGAGGTTCTGAGCAGAGCCATCGAGAAACTTCTTGGTGAGAAGAGGAAGAGAGAAGCAGCTGGTGACTCCTTCATCGAAGACGACGACGATCAGCTTCTCCTCACTAGGCTTATATCCCAGGTACCTTTTTTTTCTCCCCCCTCATCCGTTGTATTTTGGTTTAAATTGATTAATCTGATGTCTGCCCCTAATCATCTTATCTGGGTTCAACTAGGTTGAATATGATGTTTAAATCATCTTGGACTGCGAAAATAAAAAAACTAAACGAGTCTGTGTAATAATTATATAACTGGTAAGTGCTTTGTTTGGTGAAATCCGCTTGGCCTGATTTGTATCATGAATCGAATTACAAAAGGTAGATGAACAAGATTCTTTTTGTCAGTGTCTCATTATTTGTAGTTGAACAACTTGGGTCTTTGGGATGTAAGAGTCAACTGTTCTTTACAAAACGTGATGTGTTGCTGACAAGTTGTTGTTTTGATAATGGCACCACAACTTCTCATTTCAGGGCTATTGCTAATTTTTGTTTATATAATCTCAGCTGGAATTACCGAACCCAATCCAAAAGACACTTGTGATTGCCAAAGAAGAAGAAGAAGAACCATCGCCAGATTCTTCACCATCCAAAGGAAAACACGAGGGCAGTAAACAATTGGAAGAGAGTATAGAAGAGATGGCTAAAGACATCAAGGAGGTGAAGAGGCAGAACAAAGTAACCCACATTCTGCTCTCTGCTTTGATCATCCTGACGTTGACTTGGCAGCTATCTGAGTACTCAATGATCTACATGATGAAAGAGAGATTAACCCACCCAATCAGATCCATTGGAGGTATGCTCTCGGGGATGTTCAAAGGTAAGTTAGGTCCAATCAAGAGCAGACTTCCAGGGACTTCCAAGGACAAAGATGAAAACAACCTTAATAATGGGAATGGAACAAACAGTGGAGTTCATATCCAAGTGCCCGAGCTATTGCGAGAATTCGGTTTCGACGATGATGACGAAAGATAGCGTGTTCTTGTGTGACCTGTTTATCTGATACAATCTGGAAACAGGGGTCGTACACATTATTTCATTACTCTCAGTTATAGGCAAAAAGGTTCCAACAGAGAACCATTTTCAAATAGACCTTTTTGTTTTTAATTAAGCACTTGATGAATGATGGATCAATTCTCAAGCGGAGTTATCTCAACCAAAGTGAACAAAAGATCTCTCGATTGATTACAATAAAGATAGACAGCAAAACACCTGAAATCTACTAAAACCAACATGAATTAACCCCAAACCTCCATCAGTCTCTTATGGACTTGTACTAATGGTGTTCATATACGCCATCCTGCCACCACACTCTTCAGGCATAGTTCAACCTGAATATATCATTGAACACGTAGTAGTTTCCCTGATTCGATACCAAATGGAACATCTGGGGAACAAAACACAGGTACTTGAGGATACTAATTATTGAAGTAATCAAAGTCCGAAACAGATCTATGTTAGTTTTCTATAGTGTACTAGCAAACAAATATCCAATGCGTGATTCACAACATTAGAAATGAATGCACATACCTCTAGACTCTGTTGTTTACACAAAACTGATAACATAAGACGTAACTAGAACCTCGAAGATAAGAACTAAGAGTCTAGTGAATGCACATACCTAGGTAAGAGGCTTCAAACACATTAACAAAAATAGAAAGATATAGTGTAGCAGAAGATGATACACATACCACAAGAAACACTTATCTAGACAATGTAATCCGATCACGCCGATGCAAGATTCGCAAAGCAGAACACGAGGTTACATCTACACAATCAATACGGCTCTTGACATCAGACCTAATCACACAGATCTATCACTCAATGCAATTTCGTGTCAATTCCAGATCAATCAGGCTTTTAAGTGCCTTAATTGCATATTAATCTACAGTAACAAACCCTAACGACTCTATCCTAACACGTAAGAGACTCAAATCGAGGGAGGGAAAAGGAGACCTGGCTGAATTTGAGAGCGTGCTGTTCGCCAGCGAGCTGAAGATTACCGGAGACGAAGACGAGCATGCCGTTGGCGGGACCAGAGGGCTGGCAATCGACGGTGGTGATGTTGTGCTTGCACTGCTGGAAAGGAAGGCTGGTGAGCTTGGCGACGATGTTCTGAGAGCCCTGGATCTTCTGCCCTTCGAAGGTTAACATGGATCCTTCCTGGTATAGAGAAACCAACCCTGCGCGATTCGAATCGAACGTGCTGTAGTAGTGCTCCACGAACGCCTTGGCTACTGCGTCTGGATCCATCTCTCTCTCTCTCTCTCTTTGCGCCGTGCTATTTAAGAGTCTAGAGAGAGAAACGTAACAGAAAGGGTGAGAGAAAGATAATAAAACTTAAAATTTCCGGTAGACCAAGATAGGGCTGGGACTTAATATCCGCTATCCGCTATCCGATCCGGGATCCGTCCCGATCCGTTCCGAAAAAACGGATATCTGGGGGGTCCGGATCCGGATCCGGATAGTGATTTTGCGGATCCGGCGAATCCGGATCCGGATCCGGATAGTGAAAATTTTAGTCCGGATATCCGGATCCGGATCCGGGCCCACTAAATATTTTTAAAATATTTAAAATATAATTAAATTTATATAGATATATTATATATAATTTTTATTAAAATATCTAAAACTTAGTTTATTAATTTTTTATTAGGTTTTTAAACTTTTTTGCAAAAAAATAAATTTTTAATTGAATAAATATATGTTTAATTTTAAAATTTTAAATTTAATTTTGATTTTTTTGAATTTTTTCTTTTTTAAAAACGGATCCGGATATCCGCGGGTATTCGAGTTCTAGTCCGGATATCCGAATCCCGAATATCCGGAAGGCCCGAATCCGGATCCGGATATCAATTTTACGGATCCGCCGAATCCGAATCCGGATCCGGATATCCCAAAATACCCCGGATATCCGATCCGTCCCACCCCTAGACCAAGAAGACAAACAGATATTTCTTAATGGGCCTCTATGCTTACAATAATTGGGCCCGTTAATATTGTGATATATCATTATGAAGATGCGTTGGTCGGACCGGTAAAGACATGCTGCGTAAAGAAAACCCCTAACGAAGCAGTAATTAAACCGTAAAAGAAAAACACAGTTGACGATTGCAAAAGAGTGAATATAGAGACAGGCCAGCGAGAAAATATTGTGGCCTAGACCAGGAACTTAGAACAGTTTCCACTGTAAAAGTTTTATCTTCTGGTCTTCTCTACCAAGTTGCTTTGGACAGGGAAGAGAGGCATAATGGTATGAGTGTGAATTATTTAGGATTCCTGTGTTAGATGAGTGCAACATCTTCATTGATCGTCGTCCAAAATAGGGAGTGGACATATAGTTATACATACTAGTGCATGCGATCTTATATAAACAAGTTTAAACTCTCACCTAACAAGCTAACACATTAAAAATCTTGACTATATTTACATCACATGATATTATTACAAATAGGTGTTGAAATCAATTTTTTATGTAAATTTCTTTTTATAGGAGAAAAAATGAAACTTATCATGTTACCATTTAAAGATACTTTATTATTATATAAAATACCCAAACATCGAAGAACTAAACCAAAAAATAATCGAAACCTAAAACCATATCCGTTAGTATCTAAAATAATAGTTTTTCAACAGATTTTTAATTATCAGATCTAAATGATCTGAACATGGTAAGAACTGATCTGAAACTTAACCGAAAAATATACGTAGTTATTGAATCCGATTTTTCTAAACCCAAAGGATTTGGATTCGAAAAGAACCAATCTGAACCCCACCCAAAGATCTGAATGCCAAGAACTTTTCTAGAGTTTCAATTACTTCAGTTTTTCTAAATAAAAATATATAATCAAACCAAACAAACCATACAAATAAAATTTGGAATCCAACTAAACCAAACTAAATGAAATTAACCAAATTTATCAAAAAGTTTTTAAAAATATTTAAACCAAAATGTAACAAAAAAAAATTTGGAAGGAATTTAAAAACTGAACTAACAAAGTACCAAACCAAACTTTGTTTTGGATTAAACTAGTACGTTTTTGTTGAACCGAATCAGAACCGAGTAACCCAAACTAATTGAACCCACCACATACATATGCCAAGTTATTAAGGTTACAACAACAATCACAACCAAGTTTCATAACAACAAACTCCCACCTAGCTGACACATTAAAAGTCTTGACTACATTTACATAACATGTTATTATTACAAGTAGGTTTTAAATCTATTTTTCATATAAAGATATTTATGTACATATTTATGTGATTTGCTTATACTTTTTTACTTCGACTTTGATTCAAAAGAAATTATTAGCTCTCAAAACAATCATGTACATACAGTGATACACATATATTCAGTTACGTAGTATCATTAATATAACTTCATAGTCCAAAGATAAAATATAAAAAATTGACACGAAATATTTCCAGCATCATTATATAACTTACCACTACACAATAACACATCTACTTCATGAAATGCAAAACCAAAACAAAAAACTTCCAAACTCAGCTGACAACAAGTTAGCAAGTCACTTGACATGTACGTAACAAAATGTCGTAAACATTACATAACATGTCCAAAAAAAATCAGCTTTATAAACATCCATATTTGTAAATGGTACAACTATACAACCCAAATCTAGAACTTAATCCCACATGCAATTATAACTAAACTAACAGAAAATATACCGCATTACACCAACGGAAGGTGCAACACCATATAAAAGACAATAATAAAATAATATTATGTACTTTATGGAATCTAATAAAAATAATTAAATAATAAAACTGTTATAATGGTCTGAAATAAAAACACAAAAATATGAACCACCCAAAACATTTTATCCATTTCAATACCCAACATCTGATAAGACATAAATCAATCTTGAATTGCATCAAACTAACCACAATACCCAACATCTGATAAGACATAAATCATTCTCTAGTTGCAGCAAATTATTATAACCATCCACGAATTACATATAGCTAAACAAATCCGAAGCATCAACCTAACATTTAGTATCAAATCCAAAATCCAAAATAAAAGCAAAATACACCTACACACCACATACATATATACAAAAGATTAATACAAATCACTAGTATAAAATAGAGTTGAAGACAACTTTTACTTTCTGTACTTTGGAAATGCTTTAAATGTTTCGTATTAATAGGGGTTGTCAACTTGGTAAACCTAACTAATTTAAATCGAACCAAACCAAAATAGAGAAAATATTTTTAAGAAAGTGAGGTCGATGGATATCGTTCATTATATAAACTGGATAAATCTTTTTTTTTGTTATCGAAATACAAATTCAACTAAGACTATGCGAACCATCTTGGTAACTTTGCATCCATATAAACAACCAAAGACGATTGCTACAAAGCGATGCGTGCTACACTATCCATCCTCGTATTCTGCGTTCTATAAACCTAAATGATTTCTAAGTGATTGAAACTTTTCTTCAACATCTGGATGTCTTCTAAATAGTTTACAAAACCGGTAATTCTGTTATGCAACAATCTTCACCAATCGCGAATCATTTGTTTCAAAACGTTACATGATACTGCCGTAAATTTCTCATACTTTCCATTTCTCAGATAAGAGTCTCTACTTTGGAATGTAGAGGTGATAAGCTGGCTCTTGTTTTTCTGACCCCCATCAATTCTTCAAAACCTCCCAAAGTATCATGCTATCCTTGTCTCGAAAAAATACATTTATCTTTTCAAGAGTCATATATAAGACACCATCTCCCCGGTATTTTAGGTAAGGATGACAAATGTATCGCTCTAGTATAGGTTATTCGTTGTGAGAGTGATGTTTGTGCCTCCAACCAGAGTGTTGCTTCCGTTTCTACCAACTTAATGGTATCTCTGGGAGCGGTATCAATGTGACTAAAAACCATGTTAATTCATATCCTTCGAAATATACCATAGTATCAAAGCACAATGATAATATCCATATGTGGTTCAACCCTCCAAAACAAATGATCAATATTTGTAAATAATGACTGAAATATATTCGTATGATTACATGTAAATTTTATAATAAAGGGTATAATATACATAATTTATTTATTAATATGATATTCATATTTAACATTTTTTTAATAAATTTTTATTCAATTCTAAGTTAAAACTGTTATTTTTTTCTCATTTCATCAAATTAAATAAAAAATAATTTTTATTTTTACTGGTGAATATTTATCCTATAATAACTAATTTAATTATATTATGATACTATTATTATTATTATTATTATTTTATTTTTGATAGTTACATAAAAATAAAGCATTCTATTAAAATTATAGTATGTAATATAAATATTATGTTTTAATAAATTTGATTTCTAATTATATAAACCGATTCTTTTATTATAACTAATTATAGTTATTGTTTTGGTATGAAACCAAATAAATTAAAAACCGATAAATTGAATCAAATCAAATAGATATTATATTTATAGAATAGCTATTTTTTATAAACTGAAATACTAATAAACAGAAATATTGAAACTAAACCAAAATCGAGATCCAAATGAACACCTGAAATGTTAAATGGGCGGGTAAGCCTCCACCCAAAATATAATAGGCCATTGGTGGATTAACCTCAGTTTTCTTTTTGCAACACAAACTCAATTTTATCTACAAAAACGTGGAAATAACTTAAAATTTTAGGTCAAAATAAATTTACAGAGAAGCCATCAATGTCCAAACAAATAAAAATCTTCATTCAACATGGCCATCTAGATATAAACAACTCATTTTGCAGTTTAGTACGTGGACTTTATAGACTGTTGAGTGAGTTATAATTCTATTTAGGTTTGATCATATTTGGACATCCTATAACCATTAACGTTGGTGCTAGAAAAAGCCATTAACGTCTAAAGAAAATGTTCATCTGAACAAATTCTATTAGGACATGGACAACCCAGACACCCGACGTATAACTAACAAATCGAAATCGTTGTCTTGCAGCTTAACTCTATACAACAAGTAGATACGCATCTTACTTTTCTTTTTTGTCAGCAGATACACATCTTAGAGACGAAAATAGCTACTATGACTTTGACTTTTAAACAGAACCGCGAGATGTATTTCCATGTATAGGTTGGACTTGTACGTGACCAAGAGGCTTTCTCGAGCATTTCAAAAGCCCAATAATAGAAGTCCAATCATTGACCACCACGTAGAATCTCTCACGTCTCGTTAACCAATCACAGAATGGCTGTGACGAGCACGACGTACGCATTTAACGATCCTTTTAAAAAGACGTGAGAGAAAACAGATTTTGAAATAAAAAAAATCAGAAAATAAAAAAGAAAGAAAACGCGTAAAGATTTTTGTTGTGCTCGCGAGATTCATCAATTCGATTCCTTGTTCGTTTCTTCCCCGGCGTAATCATGGTATAGCCCCGATCTCTATTTGCTCATTGCAAATTTGTTTGTTTTCTGAATAAAACTATGATTTGAAACTCTTGTTTCGTAATGTGCGGTAGAATCTGAGGATCTGATCGTCCCATTGGGAACTTTCGCATCATGCCAAAAACTAATCTCACACTTGGATCTATTCAATTATGGTACTTGATTTTCGAATTCGTGGCTAAATCTTACCTGAAATTGCATTAGATACATGAATTGTGCCTAATCTTCACCCTAATTGGATGTTTTGTTGAGTTTGTAAACGAAGTGATTCTGATGATTTATTGTGTTTTTGATTGATTTCAGACAACTTCAAAGAGGCTAGCAGACAGGAAGATAGAGAAGTTTGACAAGAACATTACTAAGAGAGGTTTTGTTCCTGAGACCACCACCAAGAAGGGCAAAGATTACCCTGTTGGACCCATCCTCCTCGGCTTCTTTGTCTTCGTCGTCATTGGTTCATGTGAGTACACCTCTTCTAAATCCCCTTTATTAGGTAGAAGTTTATCTTTGTTTAAGGCACCAGAAAGAGCTTCTTTTTAGTTAGGTTTCGTGCTTCTTGTTTCATTCTTCTGGAAGCATCCTAAGTGTTACCTTTGGTTTTGGTTCTACGTTTTCTCTACTACTTTTACTTCCATTTATCACTGATCTATAATTTGATTATACAATTTGTGTTTATATATTGACCTTTCCATATGCTTTATTACAGCTCTCTTCCAAATCATCAGGACCGCAACTAGCGGAGGCATGGCATAAACTGAATCACAATTCAAGCTAGAAGAAGGCCATTTTCAAAAAATTAATCTCTCTTTTTCTTCTTCTGTCTTATCTCCTTTTCCCTTATACTGTAGAATGCGTTAACTTTCTGTTTACTTGTTATGAAGAATTTTTAGAATCCTTTTTCTATAATATATCCAACTTTTATAATGTTGTCTTGAGGTTAGTTGCCATTGCTGTTGTTATGCTTTTGTATACTACTTGTTGACATGTCTCAACTTGGTTCGCCTACCAAACCAAATGCAGTTACGGTTAAAACTATATTCTTCTGACGAGGCCAAACAAAGATCTATGACTATGATAGAGCCGAGACTCAAAATCTACATTGTCCGTTCTTTCCTCACATAATCTCTAACCGTTCCATGGTCGATTTGCCATCAGTCATCCCGATCTGGATTTGTTTACACTTAATTAAATTTCAGCTTATTCCTTCCAGTATTTATGAGCACAAGTGTTTTCATACTTGGATACACACTTCTTTGTAGAATAAAACTTCTTATGATCTATTTTCTTTAAAAGTACAAATATTTTGGAAGCAAATTGTTACGGAGACACCATGCCGCATGGTTGTTGAACATAGAGTCGTTTTTTGAGAACCCTGCACAAAAGTCAAAAGTAGGCGTGAACAATTCTAGTCCAATCAATAGTCAAGAGAAACAAGAATGCCTTTGAATCGAAATTTCTGAATTCAATAATATTCAAAGGTAAAATGAACACACATGATGGGCAATACACCCACAAATTATTCATGACTAATAATTCTGTTTTACCTCTTTGTATCATCAATTGGACCGCCATGTAAGAATAGTTGGAAGAAAAAGAAAAGACTAATAAGAGGTTTTATCATCATGAGTTATCATTTTATTTCCATTTAAAATATAAAATTGGGGGTAATTGGTAGATATATGGGTTAAATGGAAGTGACATGATTGAGCAAAGCATCATATTGATGGGATGACAAAAATGAACCCCAACGCTTTACGACTACTTTACATTCCCTGTGGAATCATGATTTTCAAAACTTAATTATTACACCTAAAGAAAAAGATAACCCCATGCCAAATTATGCACACATGTACTTAATTACATTCGTTGCACACACATACACATTTTCTTCCTTTATTTTCCAACTTGCACATTCAATGACGACTAATAAACCATGAAAGCACTGTATTACGAATATTTGTTTCCATAACATATCATACCAATTAAGAAGATTGCAAATGCAAGTATATATATAGCTAGCTAGGTCTTTAAATTACAAATTGGTCATTAAGGGTTTATTATTGATAAGACAAAGATTGTATTGTTTGGTCTGGTAGAAAACATTTGGTTGGTCCACACAACAAGAAAATGAAACCATGAGTAAATGTTGAGTTTTATTTGTTGTGAAATTGGGAATATAAAATGGCATAACGTACAGAAGAATAAAGTAAGAAAGGAAAAAAAGGGAAGGGGGGTAAAAGAGGAAATGAGATGGAATAATTGGGAAGAAGGGAAATAATCATATGGGGCCAACTTACATGGAAAAAGATGAAGCAAAAGAAAGATAAAAAAGACGAAGAAGGAAGAAGATGAAGGGAATGAATTGGTTTTAAAAAGAGACAGAGAGAGAGAGAGATGGTGGGAGGTTAAGTTTACAGAGAGTCTATATTCTTCGTTTGCCCTAAAAAATCTGTGTTTGATGAATGGCTGACTGCCATTGATTTCCTTTCTTTTGTCTGTTTTTGTGTGGGGAATGGAAGAAGAGCTTGCCATGCTCAAGCAGTTCATCGGCCAGCTTCAAGAGCTCTTACACAACGGCTCTCATCCTCCTCCTTCATCATCTCGCTCCTCTTCTTCATCGTCCTTTATAGTTCTCCACAACCCTCACTATCCGAACCCGTAAGCATCTCTTTCTGTCTAGATCTATCTATGGGTGTGCTTTCGTTCCTAATTTGTAAATAAATGTGTTTCCTTTTAGGGTCTTAGTGCAATTTCAATTGTTCCATGCCATCTCTCTCATTACATAATCCGTTCTGAATTAGCTGAAAGATGTTAAATTTGATCTGTGAATTTGATTCCAATTTTTGGTCACAGAGGGAATCTTTTTGCTTTTAAAAACTCAATTAGGCTATTTCCTTAATTTGATCATCTTCTTGGCTATTTTTTTTGTTGTAAGCAACGCCTTGCCTGCTGATGATTGCTGCGAATCCTTTTGACTTTAAGCCTTCTTGGGGTTCAGTTCTAGATACCAGCTAACTATATGTGTTGATTTGCCACTTTTGTCTGAATGAGTAGATTCACATATCTAGTGTTTCAAATGCTTAAATCGGAAAAAGGGCGCTTTTCTCTGATGTTTTAAGACAAGTCTTTGTTTCCTGTAATGAACTCATTTCTTTAAAAAAAAAGGAACAATGTAACTTTTTCCTGATATTATATTGTCATGTTTTCTTTCTTCCTGTTATGGCAGATGGTGTTTGCCCTTTACTGACGAAACTTCTGCTGATGATTCTTGTGATGTTGTAATGGCTGCTGGAAAGAGGCCCGGGATTCTCAACATGTTAGAGACTGTCAAGCAACCCGTCAAACGATCTCGCAAAGAGAAGAAGAAGAACCAAGGAAAGTCATCCACGGAAGAAGGAGATGATGTCATTAATGAAAACATGGATCAAGAAATCTGGCAGGAGTTTCCTCATGATCTCTTTGAAGCTCTTGTCTCCAGACTTCCCGTCGCTAAGTTTTTCCAGTTCCGCGCAGTTTGTCGTAAATGGAACGCTCTCATTGATTCAGATAGCTTCTCCCGCTACTGCACTCAGCTCCCTCAGACCATCACCCCATGGTTCTACACTATAACCCACGAGAATGTTAACTCGGGACAAGTCTACGACCCTTCTTCCAAGAAATGGCACCATCCCATCATCCCTGCACTACCCAAGAAGAGTATTGTCTTGCCAATGGCTTCTGCTGGAGGTCTGGTCTGCTTCCTCGACATTGGTCACCGGAACTTCTACGTGAGCAACCCTCTGAACAAGTCTTTCAGAGAGTTGCCAGCTAGGTCGTTCAAGGTGTGGTCTCGTGTTGCAGTTGGAATGACTCTTAACGGAAACTCCACAAGTGATGGCTACAAGGTCTTGTGGGTTGGATGCGAAGGAGAGTATGAAGTTTATGATTCCCTGAGCAACGTATGGACCAAAAGAGGGACCATCCCCTCAAACATAAAGCTCCCTGTACTGCTCAACTTCAAGTCACAGCCAGTGGCTATCAAAACCACACTCTACTTCATGTTAACGGACCCTGAGGGGATACTGTCCTACGACATGGTCTCTGGGAAATGGAAGCAGTACATCATCCCGGGTCCGCCGGACCTGAGCGATCACACGCTAGCGGAGTGCGGAGAGAGGTTGTTGCTGGTGGGTCTTCTGACTAAAAACGCTGCCACGTGCGTATGCATATGGGAGCTGCAGAAGATGACGTTGTTGTGGAAGGAGGTTGACAGAATGCCAAACGTATGGTGCTTGGAGTTTTACGGAAAGCACGTGAGGATGAATTGTCTAGGCAACAAAGGTTGTCTGATGATGTTGTCCTTGAGGTCCAGACAGATGAACCGTCTGATTACCTACAATGCTGTTACTAGGGAATGGATCAAGGTCCCTGGATGTACCGTTCCTCGTGGGAGAAAGAGGCTTTGGATCGCTTGTGGAACAGCGTTTCATCCCTCCCCTACGGCTAAGGCTTGATCATCTCTTTCTTTCTCTTTGGTCCATCTTGGAATCGAACGGTTCACACTCGGTGTTGGTTTGTTTCTGTTGTTTGATTTTGTTTTTTTTTTTGTATGGTTTTTGATATTGGGACTGTAATATACAAGGCATTCGTGTTGTGTAATAAATAACTTCGGGGGTTGTGTGATAAAACTGGTCGGGATTTCTTTACATACTAAGTGAACTGTTGAACCCTTTTTGTATCCAGTATCAACCACGTGTGGCTTACCAAGTGAACGAAAGCATACCTTAAATAAGTTATTTCTTTATAACATTCCCCATTAAGATGCACTAAATACAAAGTTGACACATTCTACAGTTGGGGGAGGAGAAAAGGAGACGACACAGAAGAAGAGAGATTCTCATATTGAAAATGAATCTTCTAGCTTGATCGATAATTAGGTTTATGCCATGCCTCCGCTGGTTGCAGTCCTGATGATCTGGAAGAGAGCTGTAAAAAAAAGTATACAAGAAGGTTAATAACTCTATTAATACATAGAGGTACACATAATTCAGATTAATAGAGTTATTAATAGATTCCAGATCATGGTTGGTTAATGGTGACTGTACTAGACACATTGGGACGTAATGTGAACCCAAACGAATCCGGAAACAATTTAAAAAAGAAAGAACATGGCTAAACTCCCATATCGACGGTGCACTATAGAAGAAGAGTCAAGTAGAGTTCAAGTAGATAGTGTTGAAGTTAGATGGAGGAAATCAAGACGAAGAAGCATAGGAAGATGATTAATTATGAGGCTTGTGGATGATGCTTTAGAAGAGGAGGACAATCAACTGGAATTAAAGTCGAAAAGGAAATTGTGCAGATTTAAGAGTTCACTTTGAGGATGATGCTAAAGAAGGAAAATAAACAAGTGATGTAGATAGTGACAAAAAAAAAAAAAACAAGTGATGTAGATAGTGACGACGACATTTGGAATAAAGATAATATTCCCAATCTGTTATCATCTTATAACGATGAAAAAGTTGTAGAGCTTAGATGTGGGTGCCAACATGATCTACAGTGAAGATCTCTTGTTTTTGGGAAGACTTTCGATAGTGCTCCTGACTTCAAGGTTGCTTTGTTAAGGTGCTCGCAACAAGAATGGATACTAAGCTTTACAAATCATCATTGCAAAATCTTGGTGGCAAATGTTCATACAAAGAGATAGTGGTGTAGCGGAAGCTACAAATAACCTATTGATTCTTAGAATGTCTAGGATGAGAGTCTAACTCTATCCGAGATAATTGTTTCTCTGTAGTTTTATTAAAAGTCAAAAGCTGTTCGACTACAAACGCGAGGCAAAACTTAAATAAAAAAAACTAATGAAAACCCTAATCTAACAACAAAATCCAGGTTAGGAATTTAAAGTACACTTAATAAAGTCCATAATACATTTAACCCATACGACCCTTAAGAGATGGAGACGTCTTCATATGCTGCATCAGTTCCTCCGACGACAAAAAGATTCGACCTCGAATCTTTTTCTCTGAAGATATACCAGTACAAGGATAGACTCATCAAACTTTTAATCCAAATCTGTGCTCAAGCAGTTACCATCTTCCCCAAATAAAAACGTCTTGATAGGGTTATGAGATTCTTCAAAAGCTCCATCAGAAAAGATGAAGTCAACTATAACGTCATCGTCGTCGTATATATCATAGATAGGATCACCAATAATTTTTCTGAATTCTTCATATAGATCTTCAGAAGAAACAAATGAATAATCCATAAAATAGCACGTATCTTCAAGTAATATGTTTTCTTGAAACATAATTGAACTTTGATTAAGAAATCAATGTGTCCGCCCTGATACCAAATGGTGTAGCGGAAGCTACCGATAATGCAAGTAACCTATTAATTCTTAGAATGCCTAGGAAATGTTGCATTCTTGAGATCGTTGAGAGTCCAACTCTATTTGAGAACAAAATAAAAGAGATAACTATTTTTCTGTAGTTTTATTAAATGTCAAAAGCTGTTCGACTACAAACTCAAGGCAAAGCTTAAATAAAAAAAAAACTAATGAGAACCCTAACAAAAAAAACCGCATTATGAATTTAAAGTACAATTAATAAAATCCATAATACATTTAACCCATACGACTCTTAAGAGATGGAGACATGCCATCTTCGTATGCTGCATCAGATAGAGTACCCTTAGAAAATCTATTGTTCTTATTAGAAGAGCAAACATGAAATGCAGATCAAAGTATACATTAATGAGTATATATTTTTAAGAACGGACTATTTAAAGATGTTAAAAATGTTACTATTTGTGTCATTCTTCGAAAAGAAATCCCTATATACTAAAGTACAAGTCACTTGACCAATTAAATCTTGACATATGGCATAAATTTACAAAAAAATGTTGATAAATAAATGAGAAATAAGTTTTCTATCCAGATTCTGTAAACACACAAATAACATTTCCTAAAATCTCTCACATTATTTTTAAAGCTGGATTGTATTATTAAGCCATTTAGAAAAATAGTTTTTACACAATGAGAATTATCAAAAACAATATAGAAAAGGGATACACCAGTAAGGATCCAAAGTAAACTAACACATCTATTAGCGTATGGATAACTAAGATTTTCATGTGAACTTCTAGAATAGTTGAATCGGATGGGAGATAATCTTCGTATTAATCCAAAAACACCACGCTTCAGACTTAGTTGAGAACGATTGCTACTCTCTTTTTATTACTACAGTAGGAGCCAACGAGAGAAGATAACTATTTATATTGCTCTATTTATAATAATAGAGCCAAAGAGATTACCGTTCCATAGAATTTCATGCTGTCTTTCGAAGTAACCATAGTTTGTAGCAAGAAATCCATCACCATCAAATGAAGAACCATCAACGATTGAAGCCGGTAAGACCCGTCGCCATCATCCGCAGTAGATCTGTCAATTACCTTTTCTAAGCGATTCAATTGAACCAAAGTTTTTTCATTCCAAATCTTTTAGAAAAACCATACAAAAGAACAATCCAAAACTTTGCCATATTCAAAATAAATAGGCAATCAAACAAACTAGAAGACCATAATGAAAACAGATTAAAGAAATAGAAACAAGAAGAATTAAACAAGCCGATGTCGGAGCTATAGAAGCCTTCGGCCATCGGTTTGAAACTATAAAATCTTTTTTTTTTCTCTATTGATGGCTAGGATTTCTTCCAAAAATCTCCCACATTATCACCATGTTCTTGAAATTGTTTATCTTCTACATACTCCTATATCTCTCTCTCACCGTCTCTCTTTCATCTTCTCCATTTACTTTCTTCCATTGCGATTTTCACTGATCAAAAAACATTTCTTACAAGTTATGCAATTACTATTGATTAAGATATAGTTTACTCTTTTCTCAATTAACAAACTCATAATTGTTCATCTCAGATTGAAAATGGAAACTTGAACGTACTATTTTTCAGTAGAAGAATAAAAAATAAAATTTTTATCAGCAAAGAAAGTAACAATGAGCATCTCCAACTCTTATTTAAAATATGGGTATCTATATATCATTTCTTTCAATTTCTTATATTTATAAAACTATTTGCTTTGCTTTTGCATCCGAAGAAATAAAAGAACATAGAAAGAAGTAGACAAAAGACAACCAAAACAAATAAACGAATAACCTCTGCAACAAACCTAAAACAATGGCAGAACGTCTTTAATTCTTAAACAAGTGGTATGTAATTCTTTTCTTATTTTACTCTTTAGATATCTTTATATTTTTATTTTGTTTTTTAGCTTTGAAGAAATCACATATAGTGGCTAATAGATAATAATAGGATGCTACCATATCGAGTAAAAAGAATATGAACAACTAACTTGTGATTCTTTTTGTTATAAATTCGATTTTGATAAAGAAATCAACAACAAAAGAACACTATAAACTATTTTCTTTAAAAATTTAGATGTAAGCATAAAATGATCCGTGCTTAGCACGGGTGATACTACTAGTTAAGGATAAATCTGAAGTTAATCAAAAATAATATGACTGATAAGACAAAAAGGAGTTCAATTTAACTGTCACCAGGGAACAATGTCCTAATGCGATTAAATTGTACTGGTAAAAAAAAGCAGACAATGAAACACTTCTCTTGCATATGAACTATCGGGCAGAGGCTGTGAGATCAAATCCATATTCTACGGTGGTGATTGAGACTGTTCCACAGACAACTTCAACAAACAAACAAAGTCTTGATTGAATATATGTTCAGTTACTTCACACATATAAATTTGGAAAGTTATTGGCTTATCATTAGGTCAGATGGTGCATTTTTGAATTGGAATATTAAAGGATAAAGATAAATTAAAGATTAAGTTTTGTGAAGAAAAAAAAATAAGGATTTGAAGATATGAATTGTGGTTTTAAACCTTTTATAAATTTTTGTTTTTGTTTTGTCAAAACGATTTCTTTTAATTATTTACTAGATTCTGATCCGCCCTCCAAAGGGCAGATATATTTTTATTTTTTACTTTTTAAAAAATTTCGTTTTTATATTTAAGTTCATTTTCAATCATATTTTTTTTTGTATTCATATTTAGGTATATATATATATATATATATATATATATATATATATATATATATATTTTTTTTTTTTCACGGCTGGTGCAATTTAAAAAGAGAAAAAATTTACCCAAAAAATATGTATATTTTTAAATGATTAGTAATGGCTTTTTGATATTTGAATTTTTTATTTGTGAAGATATTTGGTGTTTTTTTTTGTGATTTTGTTTTTGGTTTAAATTTTTTAGTTATTATAATGTTTTGATAATTTGATTAAATTTATGATGTTGGATAGATATATATGTGATATAGTCATTTCACATTTATATTATAATTTATTCGTAAATAGTTATTAATAACTTTTTTTAAATAATAAAGTATAGCTACATTTTTAATCCATTAGTAATTAAATAACTAAAATCATATGTTTTCATTAAGTTTTCATCATTTTATTTCAAATACAATTAAATATAGTTACACATATTGATTTGTCATGAAATTAAATATGGGTTTTGGTTAATTTTAATCCACTATAATTGAAAAGGGCCACTTCAGTTTATAAAAACCAATTTTATTTATATGTGATAAGGCCTTAAGGCCCAAATTTATATCATCTTCAGACAAAACACCCTAGTGTCTTAACCTTATCTTTTGTTGTCGGTAAAAGATTAAAAAAAGAAAGTGAAACAACATCTTTGTTTCTTGGAGACTCCGTAGACCGAAG